TGAGGGCTGAGAAGCTACCTTTGTGATCTGGGAGAATCCCAGTCACAAATGTGCATATATATATATATATGCATATATAACATATACATCTATATATATACACACAGTATATGTATGTATCGGAAAAATACATATGTGATTGTTACCCCTCCAATGTCATTGGTTGTTGCACCAGACTGGTTACACACTGGTCGTCACAATATGTCACAATGACCCCCAAGTGGTTGTGTAGGGATGGGCATCTCACACACTTGGGACTATGAGCACCAAAGTGCGGCATCCCATCATAAGACAATTATCCGTCCTTGTTGAACTGGCAAGTATGTCGCACTGGCGGTGACATCTCCTCCAGGTCAGTCCAAGAAGCTGGATCCCAAAGGAGATGAAATACGCACGCGGTCTCGAGCCAACTTCTGCCTAAGGTGGCGAAAATACCCCCTGCACAAAGGATGAAATGCCATATTATGCATCCATAAGTCGCACACAACCTCATCACAAACTCTACGTGGTCCATCAAGCGAAACGTTGAACCCCTTCCCATGTGCTAGTCTGTCGTCCGAACTGGCCCGAACCAATGATTCGCTCCCCGAAACCCTTTGGTGGGGGACCCTAGGGCTCGAAACAACGAGATCGGACTTCAAAGGCAAATTTGAAGCTTTAAAAACCCTAGCCTTGCGGTTTAAAAGTGCATGTTTATTATTAATGGTGAATTGTCTATATTATTGATATCTTATCTTAATGAAAATTCACCCATGATGAGCATTGCTTGGTCATTGCAGTGAAAAATGGAGGAGTGCCCGCGGGAGGTGTAGTAGGGTCGAAAATGCCCATGGTCCTTTTGGAGAGCTGGGAGGTGTGTGAACTGAATAAATTGTATACATTCCGGCTGGACTCCGGCTCACTAACATGGAAGTGGAAAAGCCCTTGTTCGTAAAGTAGTCTTCCAAGGGACCATTTTCTACTTCCATGTTAGTGAGTCAGAGTGTAAATATATATAATTGAAACTGATTGGAATATGTGCCGTATGTACATCTTCTTGCCCAATGAATGCCTTCTCAAGGAAATGCGAGACGCACAATTTTGCCATCTTCAACCAACCACCACCACTGCCGCCACCAGGAGGCGGGAGGCAGCCAAGGCGCATCAATATCCTGGAGTCACCCTCGGCGAACTTGCAGGCCTGGCCGCTGGCGGGAGCATAGTCCGAATTTCCCTGTGGATCGACCCTGCTGGCATGCAAAGCTTGTGTGCGAATTGTTCTACGCCAATACGCCGGTAAGATCCGATCAGTTCGGTACAGGGATGCGACGCCACGATCTGCCTGTAGGAAGTCCATCTGCTCGAATCCTGTGTCGCCCATGAGCGCATGAGAGCCCACATCTTGCTTCAGGCGGAAGCAAAGATCGATGCTCGTTTCCTCAGAGCATCTCAGAGTGGGGCAAAGTCACACCACATTCATATATAAGTTAATCCGTAATAAACCTGTCTCTTTCGAGCATTCAACTATATGGCTATCACCGTTGTGGATTTGTAGGGCCGGGTTGCTTGCTGGCGGTCAGTACATGTCTTCCGCCGCTCAACAAGTAAGTGTCTCAATGTTTATGAGGGAATTGCTCCAAAACTTCGACAGGCCGAATTGCTCATTCTGAATTGCTCCAGCCGAATGAAAATCATTGGTTGTTCCACTTCTACACCTAGCATCAGGTCCTGTTTCTTGTGGTTTTACTTTTTGCCTATGGAGAATTATGGAGACTCACCTCAATGATATTTTTCATTCGGCTGGAGCAATTCAGAATGAGCAATTCGGCCTTCTCTATTTCCTCCCCGTTCTCTCTCTTCGGCGTTCGCCAGTCCCAGCATCGCTCGCAAGGATCTTGGCGGAGGCAATGGCTTCCTGGAGGGCCATCGGCGGGATCTCGTCCTTCTGCAAACCTCGACGGGGCGGAGAGTGGGGCCGTGGGGCGTGGAGTGTTTCACCGCATCGGTCGAGACGGGGACTGGTCGTAAACGGAGTTCATGTGCGAGGGACCAACCGTTTTGATCCATACCCACATGCCATGAGACAACGAAACGCGGATGCAAAGCCTTGAGACAACAAAATAACAGTACTGTATATACCTGAGCCCCCTGATCCGCAGGAATTGCTACAGCAGTCTGAAATTCTTAAGATTTCTTAAGAATTTGGCGTTTTAGAGGAACTTTACGCAGCAGTACGGCAATTTACGCAGCAGCACGCCTTTTCTTGCAGCACCACTTCTGTGCCTTTCTCAGCTCAAGGCCCCATACATGGACATTTAAGTCAGTATACGGGCAAGAACAGTTGAGTATGACTTGATACGGGAATTCCTTCGGTACCGTAAGAATTGCTTCAGCAATGCTGTATTCGTAAGAATTCTGAAGCGCTGCTACTATTTCCATGTTTTTGGTGTCCACTAATACTCACTAACCCGTCCCCGATAAATGAGTGTCACCGAATCACGTCGCAAACCCTCCCAGTTGCAGTGCCAAGGGGCAATCACTCAGCTGCTTCTCACAGCTGCCAACGAAGTTCTCCAGCTTCTTCAGGGTCTCATCCGCACGAAGATACCTACGGTCTGCCAAATTCACGACGGGGCCAAGTGCTGTTGGCCACTGAAGCAAAGGGTTTGTTCATTCCAACCTTCCCCTGCTCTTGGACCAATCCTTCGGATCCCTTCAGATCCCACCATCGAGATGGGGCCCTGGCAGATGTTGAAGCTGCGGCACTTCAGTCAAGGTGGAATTCTTGGGGATCCAACCTCAGGAAGACTGGCTAGTGTGGTCTTCGGTGGGTCTCTTTGGTGGAAGTGCAGTCCAGAACTCCGGCAACTGAAACAGTCTAGCACTGCGATAGACACCACTGGAACTTCTGATTTGCAGTCCAACCTGCTACCTCTGAAGACAAGTGGCAGGTCAAAGCAAGATTCAAGCATATATTCACGTTCGTTTGTTGGGCCTTCCCATTGGATAATGGTGGGAAAAACCGCTATCTATTCGGGAAATGTGTCATTTCAGACCCTCATCATCTTCACACTGGTCCCGGGTGTAAAATTGGTTTGACTGAGTCCTGCACACTTCTTGTGATCAGAATATGCCCGAGTCATCTCGAACAACCTTAGCAGGACATGTATGCACAAGACTATGACACCTGACACTGAGCTGAGCAATGGACTTAGGCTGCTTCCAATGTGAGTAGAACGAATAAAGTCTTCTGTGAGTAGAGCGCATCGGCCAAGCGTGCAGTCTCTGGTACAAAACAATGGTGACCCCAACTCACTCCGCACGGAAGATAAACTCTTCAACATGCATGTAATGGTCAAGACCAGCAAACCGTGGTTGAGAGCCTGATGAGAATCCGTGTGTACATGTAAATGCTAAATATACATATATAATATTTGTGCCTGTGCGCGTGCGTGTGTGTTGCATGTCAGTGTGAGGGTTCGTCATGATCGGAAAGACAGCCATGGTCCACCATGCTGAGTTGTCGAATTGGTGCCAAGGAAGTCGTGGATAGGTGATGCTGAGACCACCACATGGCATTGGCCATGTGGGAGTCTGTGCCAAGCTTGCCATGTCGGACAAAAGAGTTTACTGCTTCAACAAGCAACGAAAAGGTCTGCACTACTGCACTACTCTAATTACACATATTTCTTGGGGAACCCCTTCCTCTCTTCTTTAAATGGTTCTTCGGGTGCCTGACCCATCCAACTCCAGCAACCTCGTCCAACCACGAGGCTTTCGGGTGAAGGTGAGCGCCGCCCAGGCCACCGCGACGCGGCCACTGAAGAGTCGTTGACCGATCATGGCCATGTTGGTGAGGCCCTGGACGCGGGCTTCATCGAGGCTTCTGCCGTGAAAAAAGGGTCGGTGCTTGTCGTGCAAAAAACTTTTTTTTTAGTGTTTCGAAATGAGATCGGGTTGTGAGCCTTTCAACGAGGTGGAAATGTCATGGAAAAAACACGCGAAGTCCATGGCATCCGATTCCCAGGTGCCTTTCACAAGGGATTCTCTGCTCTATCCATGAGGGTGTTCGTTGCATTGTTGTATGCAATCGGGCGCAGTTAGCCTTTACGTCATAAGTGTTCGATGTCCGATGGTGCTTAATCCCAATGCGGATCATCTACAGGTATACCTATGCTTGGCATGACACGGGGGAGCTATTCCAAAGCTTCAGAGTTTCATGCACCATAACATATGAGTCTCCTTGGATGTGTGATCTGGAACCGGCTAGAAGGGTGATTGCTTTGACCAATGGAACAGTGGAACAAACTCGGTCGACTTGCATTACCCCGACTACATATTCCAAAGGTTTGAATTGACTCCGTGACTCCCATGAACAGGGTCTGATGATGTCTGATGTCTCCAGCAACGAGCTTTGAGACTCAAGAGCTGCCTGATACCTCTGTGCCCACACAGAGTGGCAGTACCTGGGGCCCTTCTCCGGGCTTTATCGATCTTGAGAAATCTTGAGATCGTTGAGTTGGGCCTTGACAATCTGCAACCCAAAAACCATACAGTAGTTCATCTGTCTACAGTCGTTGGGGGTAATAATTAATATATGTATATATTATATGATATGGTAATATCGTTCGTGTTGGAGGTGCTGCCGCCCAAATGAGCTCCGCCGAACTTGTCTGCCTTGACCTTGCTCACATATGTGCCGCCATTGCCAGGCTGCACATCTCCATAGCGGCTGAGCAAGGTGTGTCGAGGAACCCTGGCTCCATGAAAAGCCTCATGGCACACATCGCCAGGAATGGAAAGCAACCGAGGTCGCCTCGAAAAGGAATCCGCGCCGTACTGACAGACACGGACATATAGAATTGATGCTAGAGCCGTGTAGGCAAGTGCGCAAGAATCCTAAGGCCAAGGGACAATCCAGGCATTGTCTAGATCATTGCCCACCGTTTTGCGGCCCATGTCCTTTTTCGGGCAGCAAGGCTTGCCACAGAGAAGGCGACGCACAAGTCACCACAAGATCAATTTCAGAAAACGACCAACGCATGGGCTCAGGTCCTTCAAAGCTGGGAACCGTTGAAATTCGACCCAATCCTTCTCCAATGACCAACTGATCTTACATCGTTTCTATACATCCCTGATCGCCTGTACTACTACCTGCCGCCGGTACTTGCAGGAAAATGCTCCCGCTACCGCCTTAAGAAGCCATTTCAGTCTTGGATGTCACTTTCTTGACCCCAAAATACAGGAGTGAACGAACAGCCAATAGCATATAGTTTTGGAAGTCATCGGGCGTCATTTCCATCTGCTTGGAAATTGGTTCCTACATGGGGGGCTTCAAGAAACTGAAGCGAGGCTCTCCAAACTCCACGTTGGGCACTGGACCCTTGGCATCTCGAAGCTCCATGAGGAAGGCATGTGCACCACACCTGCGGACGCATTTGCAAGACCTCCCCACCAACTCAACTAATAAAATATGTATACATATGCTTGTGTGAGAGCTTGTGTGACTGTGTGAGCTGCGGACAATATCACTGGCATCAACTGGTGTAGCTCAAGATCGTGTGACATGGTACACATGCGCGCACGCACACATGCACAATCACACACTACCACAAATAGATAGATAGATAGATAGATAGATAGATACATAGATAGATAGATGGATAGATAGACAAATAAATAGATAAATAGATAGACAAATAGATAGATAGTTAAGATTAGATTAGATGATTAGATCAAATGATTGGATTAGATTAGATTGGATGAATCGATTAGATTATATAGATTAGATTAGATTAGATTAGATTTAATTAGATTCGATTAGATTAGATTGATATATTACAATATATTATTATATGATGTTTCCGCGTTTCCCCAAATTCAAGCGGCTCAAAGCTTTGGGGTGCTTACTTCGAGTCCTAGGCTCTCGCAACCAGGCTCTGGGCACCACTGACGCCACAACCGGCGGAACTTGGTCGCAACTTGGTGCTTGGAACCCTGGAGCCGTGCAATTCTGGCGCTGGGCCCTGATCACCATCACCATTCTTTCTGGGCCGTCCTGGTCCGCATTGCGTGTGTGGCCCAACTTATTAGGGACATTGGGCATGTACAAAAGGCTGAGCGACGCAACATTCCTTCCAAAGTGCCGGGTTCATTGGATTCTTTGATTCTACCTTAAAAGAAGTGGAACATGTCTACATATATATATAGGTGGCCTTACTTCCTTCAGAAGCAATCCCTGCTCGCAAGTTTGGCCTGGACACTGGAATCTTGATTCTGCGGAACCCTGGAACCCTGACCGTGGAAACAGATTTTGATCGCGACTTTGCGCCTGGGCTTCCCGAGGTTCCGGTGTGGGCTTTTCACCTGGACTGGAACCTTGCAACTTTTCAGCAATCCTGAAGTGTCAGAGCCAGGCTTTAATCATCAGTCTCTCAACCCCGGAGCAGTGAGCTCTCGAGCCCCATCACAACTTTGTTTTTTTGCATTCTGGAGCAGGCGATAGCCATATTTTGCATTCAGTGTCTGGTTGGCGGTTGTGAGAGGGGCGCATTTTCGTGCGCCTGGTGAGTCTTCTTGTCCGAAACGCTCTCTGGCAATATCTGGTTTTATGCCAGGGCAATTTTGTGCGTGTTTGGTGTTACCTGTTACCAATCCAAGCAAGTGCCCCGAGACCAATATTCTAGCTAGCAGCATCTGCTACCGTTTCAAGGTCTTCTGCTCGTGCTTGAATGTTGCAACTGCCGGACTTTGGTCACAGGGGCAAAGGCAAAGCAATCAAAATCCACGGTGCATGGCGGGGTCCGTCCGTTCGAGACCTGCCTCTTGCCGGCCACACGTAGATCTGCCACTACCACTGCCAGCTCACCCACCAAGCCCTGTGAGATCCAATTCTTCTGCGCGCCCACCTCCAGCGCCGCCACACCGAATCGTGCGGGAAACTTTCAGCCGGCTCAAGTTGTCTAAGAAGGAAAGTCACACGCTCACAACCATTCAGTGCGTCAACACCATCTTCCAACCCTGATGGCCTACAGGAACCACAGGCCATCGCTGTTGGAATTCCATCAGACATTCCCGTGGTTTCTGGATCTCCAGCACCCCTTGGATCCGCCTCTGGGGATGTAATCACGAACTCTTGGGTTTGGTCCTCGGCTTCTGCGGTGCCCGGTGGCGGAGGCGCGCGCGCCGGGTCCGGCGACGGTGACGACAGGTTCTTCCCGCGCACTGTATGACTTGGAGTTCTTGATGTCATTCGATACTGAATACTATTGTGTTGGATGCGTTTGGATTGCTGGCTGGTGTGGACATCACTGAACTTGATGGCAGTCTTGATGGCATCTCCGGCACGTCCCCTCGTCAACAAAGTGTCCAGAACAGGTGCACGAGGAGGACCTTCTCAATACAAATCGCTAACTTAAAAGATGCAGCGATGCAATTGTACGCGGGGTCGTAGGGTATCGAACCTCTCAATGAAGATGGATTGCCCCAAACCTTCGAGACACTAATTACTGGATTAAACATGATTAAACCATGGAAAGAGATCAGACTGGGAGGTTGTCAAAGCAAGTAGTACCAAGCATTCTTTGTTTGCATCTTTGTGGTTGTATCGCCCATTGTGCCCAGTATCAAAGGCGTTTCTTGATGGAAATGTTGCAAGGGCTTCGCTGCTTCATCTATTCAAATTCAAACCTGTACAAAGGATGTGAGGGCCGATGGATGCCAATTTGCCCCTCCGTTGGCAGGGCACATCCCACTCCGCGATAGTGTTCACCACACCGCCACCTCAAACTTCCGAGGATTGATGTCAGGTGCGTGCAGTGCTGCGTCGGGAGATCCAAACATGTCTACAGCAGAATTGCCACTCTGTCCTTAACACTACGCCATGGCTATGCTCACCGCCAGGACGTTTTGACGAGGCACTATTAACACCTGCCAGCTTCTCAGTCAAGCCGAAGCAGCCCAAAAAGCCCTGCAGCCGGACGCCCAAATACACAGGTATGGCATGGAATCAAGCCCGACCACAAAATCCATCACATCAATCTAGCATCATCTAGCACCTTGCGCATGATCAAAGCTTCGTGTCCAAAGCCTTCTGCTGGATCTCCTCCAGTTGCTTCACCTGCTGCTCGTTGCCCACAGCTAGGACTGACCCAGCGAAAAGATTGTAGTGCACCTGCACATGCAGCTGCAACATGGAGCCACACAGGTTCCTTGGAATCCTTGGATCAATATGAACCTGTCCATTTAATTCCAGTTACACTTGGCACTTCAAAGTTCTGCCAACATTCAGATCAATCACCCACCCGCCCGACTCGCACAGAGACTCATAGAGCAGATGTTGATCCCGGCAGGCCAGTCGTGCAGAAGATTAGCATGCTATAGCCATAGCATGCTTCCATCTATGCCTAATAGGCAACTTGCCACTATAATCAATATGTAAGAAGCCATCTGACTAATCTATATAACTATATAAAAATCATAAAAAATCTAATTACACTCTGACAAACACATCACATGGACCCCTGTTTGTCAAGGAAAGTCATAAGGCCATCAAACCATTTTCCAATATCATGTGGTCGTGAGTCAGAGTGTCATTCCTTCGAATTGTCACGGAGTTCCTTCGCCGGTGTTTTTCGAGTGTGGCATCGGCCCCATGACTCACGCCCCGATCCGTCGTCCCCACCGTGAAGCGGATCCAAAAGCCGGGGCCCAAGTTGGGCGCATGCCGCGCAAGGAGACGATGAGCCTGGCGACAACACAGGTGCAAGGGGCCTGAAGGAGTTGTGGGATGTTCCGTATCTTTCCATCACTTCGTCCTTCGAATGGGCGGCCATGCTGGAGTTTGGTCGAATTTGAGGCATGTAGTTGTTGTGCCGGCCGTGGCTAGCAGGGTGACCAGGCGCATGAAACATGGAGCATTGCTGATATGTTGCATTGCTTTGCAGTCTGTGAAGTCTCCAAGCGTCGGCCACAGGCATCGATGATCTGCAACTGCGCCACTCGATAAAACAAATAGGTGTGGCTCAAAACACGTATATAGTCAAAGGGTGAGCCTTCATACAAATACATGGGTCATGCGAGCCTCAAGCGGGGAATGGCAGGCGGACAAAAAAGTTCATGTGCCCGTTCATGTATGGACATGTGAATCATCAGGGCATGGCAAACGTTTATTTAAATATACTGCGGGCTAATGACATAGGCATTTGCTGGGCTAGTGACATAGGAGTTGTGGTCAGTCAGTAGACAAGGTAGCCAAACGTAGGACACAGTAGGATGACGTAGGAGGCGTGGACGTTTTGCAAGTACATAACTCAAAAAAGAATAGAATATTGTGCTTCCATGGCTTAGGTGCGCTCCTTTAGTTTTCTATGTTTTCCCACAGGAAAAACTGCGCTGTTGCCCTGGAATTCAAGCAATGGCTTTCCTATCTTATCCCTAGTTGCCACGTGCTATGTTGGTGGCAATCTCCTAGGTCATGTGTGTTTTAATGTCAATTGCCTCTTCAAACCATGCAATCTTTTTACGACGCCAGAGTCATTTCTGTATGTTTTGACCTGATGGGATAGGAGGTCTGGCATATAGGCTCTTTCCTGATGGCATAGTTTATTTGTTCCCCACCCATCGTTTCACAGGTCCTATCTCACTTTCCTTCAGCCGTGTTCTGACGAAGACTCTTCACCAAAGTGACTTATATATATATATATAAAGGGTCAGGGGATGTCAGCGAACATCTACAGCCCAGTCTAATTACAGCCCATCATCCTCTCAATTGCACAAACTTCCAATTTCTAGAAACAGAACACAGTATAGCACAAACTTCAATTGCATCTCATATGCAGCTTCACACCTCAAAGAACTTGCCAGGGTTGTACTTCAGGTCCTCGGCGGGGCGAGTTGTTTCGACTCAACTCCCCGGCGAGGCCTGGCTTCCGAAGACGCCAATCGATGTTAAAGAAGAACAAATGCACGTCTCCAACCCTGGAGGGCTCCGAAAAAAGCAGCCTTCAAAAGATTCAGTTCAGAAGTGTGCCCAGCAGAATTACAGTGTATATATATACATGTACAGTAACGTCATGTCTGATGTTCTTGGCGCTCCGCAGCCTCCGCAGTTTTTCACGACAACTGTTTGGAGTGCGAAAAACGCCATGTCTGTCCAGGGCTCCGTTAGCTTCAATAGCCCGGTCTGCTGCAGGCTCCGGAGTTGCTGGGCACCTGGGCAAACATGGGTAGACGAAGGGAGGTTAAATAAGGTGGTGATTGGAAATCATGTTCTCAATGTGACAGTTGGAACATGGAAATGGGTCCTTTGTAGAAGTATGTGCAAGGTTGTGGACAGCTTGGCTTAGAACACAGAACTGGCTATGACGGGGTTGTAGGTCGGGTTGGTCCCAAACAACACCGGCCTCCTGCCTGATTGCTGCTCAAATGCACATCAAAGGGTGAGATAGCTTTCAACGGGGACCTTTTCATCTCCATGCGGCAAGTTCAAGACATCTGCAGCTTCTCATGCCGCTGGTTCCTTGCACCATGCAGTCTTTCTCATGCAACTTTGCCTCCAGCTCTTCGAAAAACACCGTAAGAGATTGGGATGGTGTGGGATGGTGTTGAAACTGTCTGACTCTTGCCCACATGGAATTCATCAAACTATATAGTGGCAACAACATTCTGCTCCGCGTTGACATGTTGACATGCTGATGGCAAGCTTTCGGCTGTTGACAAAGAACTTACCACAAACACAGGCTGAAGTGCCTGGAGATTGCCCAGAATTCCTTGAAAACGCACCTTCTACTGTGGATGTTGATATCCACCACGCACGAGGTCTCTGTTTGGGCCATCTGGTGCAGGAACCAGGCAAGTGCGTGGGGAGACTTGGCTGCGCTCAATGTCTTAAACTTGGGGAATGATTTGGTGTCTTGGATTGAATCAGGGTTGGCGGATCTCTGCACCTGGCCACATATTCGAGCGCCCCGAATCAGATCTACAGCAAAAAACAAATTCTAAGTGGCCCCATTCAGCCAACTCAGCACTCACAGCCGGCATTCTAAACCGCAGTCAGTGCAACCACAACTCCTGTAGCAATAGAGGGCTGCACCGTGTTTCGGTGGAAATGAAATCGCCGTCTTCATGTTTGGTACGGTCATATACGGTAGCATACATACGAGACTCGTCATGAGCAGCCTATGAGACTCGCATGTGCGCCGGCTGAGCTGAACAAATGGAGCCGTCTACCAGGACCATCACTTACATCGAACACACCCAGCGACCGGGTCGACGTTTCAACATGTTTCAACCATGAAGGTCTGCCGACCACAAACTCTGGCCATGGCTTCACGAGTGATGCCTCCGGTGCGCTCCTCTCAACGATGTGATGTTAATTGTCCTTCTTGTTCTCATTGCTCTTGTCAACGTCAAACCCCGTCCGATATTCCAGCTTGAACAAATGGTATCCAAATCGAGTTTTCACCTTGGACGAGATGGGAGGCCTAGGCCTCCTGACCAAAAAGACTTGGCAAACAACATGAGCAAAATACCAGCGTGGAAAGGAACAAGGATAAACGTGAGGCCATGTTTCTTCGCTTCACGCGCAAACCTCTCCATTATGGCTTCTAATTTTAGGGCCTAATACGCATAGTGCGCAGAACAGTGCCGCCAAGCAAAAATTGCGGCGTCGTTGCAACAAAACACACGGATACAAACAGGTATACCGCACTAGGCTCTAGGTCTTGTTTCCTTAGGACATAGGCAGGTTGCCAGGATGTGTGTCCTTTTTGATCCTTCTTGTAGGTTTGCCAACTCCTCCCTGCACATGAAGGTCCAAGCAGCAGGGCCCACCACTTCGCCAATCGGAATCTTGGGGTTGAAAGCAACTCCTCAGTTGTATCCCTGTGATGTCGGCACAAACCCTGGATTTCACTCAGGTTTTCACGGCTGCATCGACCAGCTCGCTCTCACCATTTCACACAAATGCAAAATCTCAGGCAGTGTCTCCGCTCTTGTCACTTGAGTGGTGATCTGCAGCCAAGGCTCTGTCAAAAGCAGGATCAAGCTCTCCTACGACAATATGTCGGTGCAAAAATGGCACACACACATACCTTTGGTGCATGCTAGAGATAAGCAATCTGCAAATGTTAATACAAGTGGCGAATCTGCAAACATAATCACGATGATTTTTTATATGGAGATATATTGCAGATCGATTCATGCATGCAACAAGGTTTGAAGCACACATGTGTACGCACTGCTCCGCATCGGAACAAAGCCAACCATCTCCTGGTTGAAAAACACCAAGATCACCACCATCTGCAGCAGAAGGGCATTTGCTTAAAGCCTTTGCCACGCGAGCAAAGGTCTCCTGGCTAAGAGTGGCAAGTGTCACTTCCAAACACCAAAGAAAAATGTATCAATGAGTGGAGCATATGTTGTTGATCTTGAGCATGCTCTGTAGCTCTGCGCATTAGACTTACATAACTACTTAATTACATACATTGCAAATACAGCATGTAGCTATGCAAGAACCTGGAATGGTCGTGGGATGCATCTGAGGTTGTTGGCATGGAACCTTTAGTAGCCTTAGTTCATAGAGCCTGGTGTAGATGCTCAAACTCACAGGATTTCCGACATCGATAATCCGCAGATCTGAGGGCTGGATTAGACCAAATACAGTATTGCGGTACCTGAGCATTAAAACCAATGAGGCAGCCAAATCAACCTGTAAATCTGGAAGGGGGAAGCAAAAAAGCCTTCACATTCTTTAAGCCTTTAAGCCTTAGCTCTTTCTGGCTTGGAAAAAAACACAAGTTTATGGAGATTCAAGCTCTGTGGGTCTTTGGGTCCAAGCATGCCGTCGACGTCACCGTCACCCAGGTCACTTGCAGCTCGAGCGTCGCCCTTTTCGAGGCGATCTTTGGCCAACAGGATATCTGTCTCGGACTTCATGAGAATGTGCCTGACATCTCTGACATCTCTGGCGTGCAAGCGCCGAGCAATGTGTCTTGTTGTAGCGCGGGTCCGGGATTTCGGGTCTGGGATCAAGAGCCAATGAGATCCAATGAGGTGATTTCAACATGTTTCCTCAGCAGGGCTGTTGGGGGTCTCCACATCTTTGAGCCACACCCAACACTGGACCGAAGAAAATGATCAGGGCCTAATGGCGGCGCTCTTAATCTTCCGCTGGTCGGCATCTGCGCGAAGGAGCATGAACAAAGTTGTCGAGAGCACAAAAAGCCCACAAAACCTGAGCGGCCCGGCCTCCGTAGAAACATGATGGACGATTCTATGAAGCAACTGTCCAAATTCGACAAAGTAAGTATAGTTACTCTTAGCTTCACTCAGCTCGCGTCAAAAAGTGCTACACAATGAATGACAATCAGATATTGGGCTGAGGTGCACAATGAAGCAATGCCCGTAGGTAAATTTCAGCTCGCCAATGATGATGGCAGGCTCCCGAGATTTGGCACCCAATCTTAATAGCCAGCTGGTGGCCATACGCACTTCATGGATTGAGCTGGAGGGTAAAACATCTTCAATGTTGGTGATCTCCTTAGCTGGCACCAATCTGTGTCAAGTGAGGTCTTCCTCCGGGTCTGCGATCAATCATATTAATATTATATATATATGTGAACATATGTGATATGTCGGCAGAATTGTGCAGCTTGGCTCAAACATCCAGAAGTAGCTAATTACCTAGCTCTTCGAGCCAAATCACGACCTCCTGCCCATTGTTGGGCAAAAGCACATGGCTTCACAGAATTCTCTTGGCCTAAGGCCTACAAGGCCTACCTTCAGCAAAACCCGTCAGGTTATAATGTTGCATTGTAATCATCCCATATCATCCCCACAATTTCATGTCTTCCAGTCTCCGCCTGGAAATGAATGTTCTGAGGGGCCAACGCGACCATATCGCTCTTGCCATATCCAGTTTTGGAGCTCAAGTTCGATCTGCTGCACCGAGATTTGGAACGCACCGTGACTGACGCGTTTGGAGTGTCAATCCGATTCAGGTGAGTGATGTCACCGATTTCATCCATGTTGATTTTTCCTCCCAAATGGTCTCCTTTGAAAGCTCTGAAGTACCCAATCTCGCTGGATCGAGGGGCCTTTTGAAGGAATTTTTGTTGGGGTCTAGGAGGTGCATGCTTGGGACGACTGTGCGGCCAAGCAGCCGGGATGTCAATATCCATGTTGGGGACTGCACCAGGACCGTGCACGTTCAGGCCACGAGTGACTCTGAAAGAACATGTATAATGGAATCAATGTAATGGCTCCGCTTTTGTGCCTCTCAGTCTCGGCTCCAAGTTCGTAGATGAGCTGGTGTGGTTTCTACGCGCGCTTGTTTTTTGAGCAAGTGTGACATCTATATTAAGCGTGAATTTTTGGCAGCGTTGACGGTGATTGACTTGTTCATAACTGTTGTCATCTCCTTCGGTCGATCAGAGCCAACGGCTACTGTGCATTGCTTGCCGCAGGCGCTACGACTTGAGTGAGCAACTGCTAAGCTGTGAGGGCTGGCACATGTGGTGGACTACACATACACACACCCTCCTGATCCCCAGGGCTCGCCAGTCTGCCCGGCAGTTGCTGCATCTGACATGCAGCAAAATGAATGCAAAGAATGAATAAACATAAACCAATAGCATTTCTTTATAACAAAGTGACAGAATCATGCTGCGTTGTCGCCAGGGCACTCTCTTCATACGACACGTTGCTACGGATCTTGGACACAGCCTGGCCATCAGGTCATCAGGATAGAAATGCATGAAATGCCCAGACTGAGTAAGGGGAAAACTGCTAAGTGAGTATATTGTATGGTTCCTTTGAGCGTCAGTAATTTGCGTTTCTCAAGTTTTCGTCGGCGCTCCGCTGTCAGAAGGCTCAAGCTGTCAGTCCGGCTGAGAAACTCGCAGGAAGGTCTAAAACAAACAGAAGGAGCAACATGCAGCTTGACCAACCAGCAACAAAAACAACCCTCCGGGTCGGAAACAGAACGTGTAGTTGTGTGCATTTGCAAACATGAGCGAGTCTCCCAAGCCAACAAAACCTCTAAAAACACACATGCTTTACAGTATGTCCTTTTTGCCATCTATGCATGAAGCCCGGCTGGGTGCCGTACAAAACCCCGTGAATAGCATTGAAGTCTACCTACTTTCTATAGATGGCGTCGTTTCGTGAGTGTTATTTGGAGAAAACTGTAAACACCCATAGAAAATGCAACGCAAAACTCGCGCGTTTGTTGGCGGCCTTTTCACATATCCCCTCGGACAGCTGTTTGCCGCAGTCTGACATCAGCTCCTTCGAACTCATGTGCATGATTCGCTCAATGCCGCAAGATTTCCAACTCATCACCATCGTGTTCTACTGATCACACGAACGAAACCCGCTCACCCCCAAAACCCCCCCGAACCTCCCGTAGTGTCTTCTGTTGTCACATCAACAACTCATCACCATCATGTTCTACTGATCACACGAACGAAACCAGCCCCCCCCCAACCCCCCCGAACCTCCTGTAGTACTGTATCTTCTGTCGTCACATCAACAACTCATCAACATGTCATCATCATCATTATCATCATCATCATCGTCTTTCTTTCTTGCGCTCATTAAGTCGATGACGGCGTGGACCTTTGGTAGGTCCGCCAGGGCCTCAAACCAGCTCCTAGCTGAAGTTGCGGTCAAGCAAACGGGCAAGTGTTGTGGCCGCTTGCTGTGGTTGGCGAGACCGCAAGCCAAGATGCAAAATTGAAAACTGCCTCAAACATGGACAGCTGTGGCCCTCATTCATGCCAATTGCATGAAAAGGTTGGCAGGCGCACCATCTAGTGGGATGCGCTTTGGGAATGAAGCTCACTGCACACTTCTCAGCCAATTGGCCAGAACGGTTCCACCAGAGCGGTGTGCCGCCTCCAGGTGAGTGTTGAGGTCCCGTGGCCACCTTCCACACATGATGCACTTCTTGACCAGCCGGCGACAGAGGCGGGATGATCCACCAAGATGCTGGTGTCGAGGAGATCGATGGCAGGAAGCCATTGAGCATGCCAGTTGTCATTGATCGAAGGATCATGAATGATGTTGTCCACCTTTCCCTGGTCCGTGAGAATGGGTGAGTCGTCTGCCAGCAAGGAGACCCCTTCAGCGCCCCCATGTGGCATGCAGTTCAGCCAGAGGAGACAGCGATTCTCCTGAACCATGAATGGAAGGGAGGAGAACTTCACCGGCTCCTTGTCGTCGTCATAGATCCACGAGTGGTCACCCTCCTTGATGGCTGCGCAGTAGTGTCCGCTAGAGGCCTCAGATTAATGAAAGGAGAAACCCCGAGGACCTGGTAGGGTATGTAGTCCACCTCCACCTGGCTGGCCAAGAAGAAGAGTAGCCAGACCTTGCTGTCCCAGGTGGGTCGAACGTGGCTTTTCGCCCTCAAGAGTCAAAGCGGCCGATGTGAAGGCATGTGACATCTGCGGGCTCAGTGAGTGCATGAAGTCCAAAGGAGGCCATGCTCCAGGTGGATACAAGGCCTTGCAAAGCCGTGGGCGGCATGCTCTTTTGGTCGCTGCAGATGTACAAGTGCAAAGGGCACCCCTGGGCATTGTGGTCCACAACTTTGAGAAGGTCATCTTGCTCTAGCCGGGATTCCCAACGACAGCTATGAAAAAAGGGGTTCAGCTGTTGAAAAAGATGATGCGCAAAGTCAACCACATCATGTTGTCTAAAAGGTTCCGGCCAGCTTGCAAAACAAGTGGTCCACTGCCCATCAGACCACAAAAGCAGTGATCGCCCTTCGGACACGTCTGCAAGTTCCTCAAACACCCCAGGAAAGTTGGATTATTGGTCCTCCCTCAGTCCATCAGCTTGCAGAGCGCTCCAGGCAAGCCCAGTTACCACCGAGTTCATGTAGCAGGTGGCAGCTGGGTTTTGTAGAGTCCTCAGCGGAGGGGAGGAGGCCTCCATCAGAGAGTCTCCAACATCTTGCCCAGATGCTGAGCCAGCGGAGCCCTTTGGGCCGTAGCCGGTCTCATCCTTCCGAGCACGAGTTGCCAGTGTCCGGAGTGTCCCAGTTGATGCCAGAGGCCTCTCATCTCTGATGCATGATCATCATCGTCATCGTCATCGTCACCAGCAGCATCCTCATCATCACCATCATCATCATCATCTTTCTTTCTTTCTTTCTCTACGCTCATCGAGTGATGACGGCGTGGATCCATTGATCCGCCTGGTCCCCGTGGGGACAGACCAGCCTCAGCATTTAGCTGAAGGTCATGTCTAGCAAGCGTGCCAAGTTAGACCTGGCATGAGCTGGCTGACTTCTTCTCAACGCCAAATGCAAAATGCCAAATTGGCGTAGGCATGGACACGGGTGGTCCTCAGTCAGCTCAGTTGTGTAGTATGGCTGGCAGGCGCACCACCGTGGAGTCAAAGTACAGCCGAGCGTGAAGAAGCCGTCCTGGAGTGACCTCACGCCAGGAAATCCGTTCAGGTTGGCAGAAGGCCTTGCGGATGATGGTCAGGAGCCCCCCTGCACGATCTTTAGACCCATTGTGAATGTAGGCAAATGAGTTGTCAGACCAGTCTCCTGTAAAGAATCTTGTGTCTTGAAGTTGGAGAATGTCAAGTTGTTGGTGATGCATCCATTGCCTGAGGATGTCGAATTTGTATGTACTCAGGGAGCCAATGTTCCAGCTGAGCCCTTGAAGCCGGTTCTTCCGTAGTTTGGCAGGTGGTGAGGTGTTCTTGGGCCCCAAGGAAGCCTTGGGAGGTTCAGGAGGCTGCCATGGAAGAGGTGTGACTCCTAACATCTGAGCTGCGTAGAGCTTCCCTTTGTACCAGGTGTGCCCATGAAGTTGGGCCCTCTTGAGAGCACGAATGTAGGCTTTCTTCTTGGGAAAGTGCTGGTACAAGTCCAGACGTTGGTGTGTGGATCCAAGGCCACTTGGCTTTGCCGTTAAGGAGTTCGGATTGGCAAAGACCATGGAGGCTTCACCGGACCTTGTGGCTGGTCCGGAACCCTCGGGCCACCAGGGCATGGCATAGGCATTGAGCTTGGTCATGTAGTCCTCGAGGTAGAGCCCAAAAAGGCCACCAAGAAGGTAGAGGTGGATGCCAGCCCTGGCTGGGGACTTGGGACCCCAGCTAGCTCCAACTGTGGGTGCAAGGACCTGGAAACGTTGCTTGCTCGATGAAGAGGTGTCCTGGTTGTACTCAAAGTGCCTGAGGAGAAACAGGAGGTTCACCAGAACAAAGAGAACCGCGGTCAAAATGACCGTGCCAGCCACGGGGACAGTCTTGAAGAGATGTTCGTGAGGGAGTCCTCCTGAAGGCCGGATGAAGTACCGGTACAGGTGGCCTTCGTCGACCTGGTGGGTCCCAAAGTCCTCGATGACCATGTGGCACGGGGTTCCGCACAAGCCCGCACCTAGTGGAGGTGTAGGGCATCATCATCATCATCATCATCATCGTCGTCTACATAGCATTGAGATGCCTGGGCACCGGGTCGGAAAAGTGCAATATGTATCGATTGTAAAAATTAGCACGGCCACACGTTCGGTTTTCGACCTGGAGGCAAAAACAAGTTTGTACATGCAAATGCTGGCTTGAATCAGCAAAGTGGGAAAGCAGTCATCTCATGATTGGTCCCAAATCCCAAACTGGCCCACCCTAATGGGCGGCTTACAGGGATGTTTCAAGAATCTATAAATAAATCGATTGTGGGCTCCCTTCACAACTGTGGAGACCCCTGCAAAAATGTCTAAGGGGCAATAATTAAGAGCAAAGAAACAAACAAAACCATCAAAAAGAAGTTCTTCTGGTCCAGGGAATGTTGGGGACATCACTGGAATCACTGGGATGGCGCCACGCCTCAATCCATTGCTGGCGCCACTCCTCTGAAACAGCCATGGCCTTGCCACATGGCTGAGTGTGTGTGGCCATGATGCCGTGGACAGGAACAAGGCTCTACCAAACCTGGTGCCTCAAAAATGGAGGGTCCATGAGAGTCTCGAATTTCAAATTAATTTTCAAAGAATATGGTTTTGTACTGTCGTCAACGTAGGTTTCTCCTCTCAAGCCCTTCAATTTGCGGAAAGGTGTTGGGATGTGTTGTGAGAAAACATGCTTGTACTGCAGCTCCTGAATTGAGACTTCAGTGGCTTCAGCATAATTACACCTGCAGAAGGACACAGGATTTCCTGCCTGGCGGACTTCCGCGCCCGAAATCGCTCGATTCCAACACCCTTCGTCTCCCGTGTCCAGTCATTAGCACAACAGCCACGTGTCTCCGCCTTGACGTGGAGGCGACACTCGCGGGGAACTACTATAAGTTATGACAAATGGGTCAAGACACAGTGGACAATACATGACAATAGGAATAGACTACGCGTGCAGTGTTCAAACGGGCAGAAAGTGCCAAACTGATTGACTATATTATATATGTCCACTGATACGCACGCGACTTGAGCAGCTTTCGCATTCACATTTGCATGCGTGCTGTCAAGCCATGTCAAGCTGTCTGTCAAGCGGCCTGGGTCCAACATGGTTGGCCTGGGTCCAACAGCGTTTGCAGGTTAGCCATAACTATCCCCAAAGTACCAAAAGCTCCAAAAAGCACGCGGGACTCCCTGCCCGCCGAAAGCGGCACGCGAATGCACTGCTTCGACGAATGAAGCGACCGTAGATGACCGTAGATCTGGCCCCAAAACCGCAACCCAACAGGAGACAACGCCCAACAAAGTGGAGAAGTTGTAAGTTGATGTAAGCTGTGTTTCTCCAATGGCATAAAACATGTTCAGCATCTTGGGCTCCTGGTGACTGCCCTCTGCGCCTCTGCCTCATCTGAACAAGCTGCTCGTGCCTGTGCATTGAGCACAGCTGCCTCAAGCAGCTTGTCAAAATGAAGTTCCACCATTCGCCAAGGGTGGGGATTAAAGAACTGAACCATGCCCAGAGAGCTCAATCACCAATCTAGCGTCCTCTCTTTGTACGTCATTCTGTTTTCATCCCACATGCACGCACACACAAGCTCCAAAGCGCTGCTGTGGTCATCTGAATCAGGTGTGCCAAAGTCAGGAACCACATCCCTCGCCCATGCGACTCTAGTAAAGCAACTAGTCGGCAAAGCCAATGCTCTGCATTTCAGTACATCATAAGAATACATAAACTTGTCAAGGTGACGTCGTCTCACGAAATGCTCTGGTTACCTGGACACAGATCCAAGGGGAGCTGAGCATGTTCAACGCCTCCTCTCAGCTTTCAACAACACGGATTCCTCGCTCACAATAAGACTATCTTCAGCTCAGGTGCCCACATAGCAAGCCTCAATGGCAATGATCCGAATCCCAGTCGGGAGGCAAATACATACTGGCTGGCCATGATCTTGGGATCTCTGCCCAGCCATCTGCAACTCTTTCTGCCGTTCCTACTAGCAGCCAAATAGCTACCAGTAGCTTCTTGCTCCTAGTAGTAGTGGCCTCCAACCTACTAGCGATGGCCTCCAACCTAATAGCGATGGCCCTGGCCTCCAAGTAGTAACTAGTAGCTTCTTGTTCCTAGTAGGAATGCCAGAAGCTACTAGTAGCGTCCCAGTTCAATGGCCATGATCTTGGGATCTCTTGCCAGCCATCTGCAACTCAGGCTGCGCTGTTCCTTCCTCAGGCTCTGGCGATGTCCGTGGGAGAATGAGAACTTGAAGCCTCTGCCTGAAGCCGCAATCCAGTCGCACTGGTGCTAATTATATAGCTAATTCCTGATGTGGTGAAAGGCACTACGAACTGCACTCTCTCTTTCTCTCTCTGTATATATAAATATGTGCGCAGATTTGTATACCTGTGCATCGTAAAGGTGGCTCTTCCCCGAAACACCAAGTGTCCAAGGTCCGTCTACCACCTCCAAGCGTCTTCACCTGAGGCATGCTGGATCTGTGCGCCTGATCCAACCAATACTTGGCACGCTCCGGCCTCATGGGGACCATCGCTTGGCAAGGAAGAGAGGTCTCCGTCGTATCAAACGACATGGGCGTTGAATGCCGTTGAAGCAAAATGGGTCCCTGTACGTGGTGGAGAATTTCCATGAAATTCCATTGTCTGTGGGCCCCCCCAAACCTGGGCTCCATCGGGCTCCTACTGTCCGCAGAGTGCGTGGGAGATAAAAATGCACACGTCACCCAGTCGCCCAATACCATTGATGCTTAAGGCGATTCTTGCAAAATTGTCAACCAACACACCAAAGATGTGCGTGCCAAAAATGGGCAGCAATTCCACAAGCAACGGATCCCACCGATGAGGATCCGACTCCCCAGCTGCAGCACAGGCATGAATCACGGAATTGAAGCCTTCAGCGCAGCTCGCTTGAAGATAGCACAGCCCCTAAAAATCGATTGTAATATTGATACTGTATATGATATGCATACATATGACATATGCATGTAATGTATGCATCCAGAAACGGCAGTTTTTGTAGCAAAAGGGCTGAAAAGCATATCAACCCAGCTTGAGCAAGTACTTAGATATGCTCAAGCCCAAGTCCAACCGGAATTTGGAATCCACACATGCAGAGTCAGGGGACACCTCAGCTGGAATCAAGGCGAATCGGCAACTATTAAAAAACTATGTATATAATGATCATTATTATTACTCTGGGGTGGAAATCTGGTTCCATCTTTTGACGAGTCTTGAGGGAAAAAGACAAGTACATAGTTAATTACAAGCACCTACTCCTGCCATCTTAACATCAAAAGGGCGCAGCGGCGCAGCATCGTTGATCATGCAACCGCGCGGCGCGGGAGGATCCCATGGATCTCAGGAGGCGCTCGCACCTGTCCGTTGCGAGGTGTGGGTCCCAGTGGTTCCAGGAATATGATTTCAGCAGTGAATCCCTTGCACATGCGAAGCTCCTGGTGTGCTCTCTCCGGATCTCTCCGTAGCAAAGCCTTTTCAATTTCAATTAAGGGTTGAAAATACCAGGGCGTTGCCGCACAACCGCGGCCAAATGTACAAACACGTGTCACTGATTCACTTCCCCTCATGCGGCATCACTACTGTATGTCACCCTAAGTTAAAAAACGAGAATTGAGAGGGCAAGCTGTAGCAAACTCATTTCATATGAGAGCGCATTCTACATTACACGGATAGACAGACATGAAATATGACATGATATATACAGTGTATCCTATATATATATATATTTATATATATTATATATATACAGTGTATTATATCAGTACTCATTTCTATGCACCTCAAACCGCACCAAACTCATTGCGTCAACGCAGGAGACACTGCTGTCGAAGTACTGTTGGAGACTTCCAGCCCTGGCCAAGGCATAAAGTGCCGTGGAGAAGGCGGCCTGAGACCGAGACGCAACTGTTTGGAGTCAAAAGAAATGAAAGGGATCCCCCAACCCAGTGGGCCCAGTTGAGCTTCACGCTCGTTGGCGAAGGTTTTTGGTGGTGACTGCGCGAGAGGGGGATGGCAGCGGCGGCAGCAGCAGCAGCATAGCATGGATGCAAGCACCAAACTAGTTATATACCATAACCCAGTTGACAGTCAATCAAAATCTCAACAGAATTCAGAGTCTCAGCCTTTACTACGCAGCACCAGCAGCTCGTTGGAGAGACTGGCGGCAGCAACTGCAATGAGCTCCTCACGCTATCCAGCCATATTCCATCCTGCGGTCCATGCGGTCGACACGATCAAGGGCGACGTTGTAACTGCGAAAGGTGCATAGGCTGCATAGCCCTTAAGGTGCACGCGTCACATGGGTAGAGGCTTTGGAAAGTAGCTGTTCTCACCGGTGTGGGTGGGCATAGAGAGATGTAACAACTCCAGGAGCTATATAACCAGAGATGTGAAAAATCATATCAAACCACCATCCACAGCCAAAAAAGGGGACCTGCCTGCCTCCCGTGCATCTTCCAGGATCTTCACCGCCTTTTGTGCTGAGGACATCGAGGACTCCCGGCCGTAGGCCTGGCCCAAGCGATCAAACAACAAGAACGGGGATCGCAAGCAAGGATTCACATAGTGATATTGGAAAAAACTCATTCAAGACTGCAAGACTGTGAGTTCGTCCGGAACTTGTTTCCATCACAGCAGATTGTGGAAAACAGCGCTGCTTCAAGGAAGTGAAGTGCTGACATTGCTATTTTGTGGCAGTCTGGCAGTCGGAGGCCTTTATCAAGGTGGTGTAGGTGACAACATCTGGGCGAAGACCTCCAAGAATCTGCAACCAAATTCATCAGACAAACACGGCGTGCCCATCAAGTTGCAACTTCAACCAGGGGCTTGTAGCCAAAACGTCACGGCATCGAATGGCACACAGTTTGAGATATGTTGGGAAGCTGGCCTCGCTTAAGGATATGGGACATCACCTGAGACACAGGTGCAGTAACTACTGTTGAACCACTAGTCAAGTGCCCTGGAGTATCCAAGTGTCAAAACAGGATATGGTAGCTTCTGCACAGAAACTGGATTGCCTCCTCCAGGATATGCAAGCTACCGAGTTGATACCTCAAACACTTGTGCTCCCGCGACTGTCCGTGTCTGCCGGCTTCTGGGTGCCTGGCTTCCTCTGCACCTTCCAGGTCTAATCGTCTTATGTACAAAGAAGAATCTTTGGAGGGTCACTGAGTCCAACTACATGAACAAATGCAGGAGAAAAGGTCCTTTGAGACCGTCGAGACCCTTGTGAAAGCAGAGGCCAGCGAATGTATATAGCATTCATCGCTAGTAGGTTGGAGGCCATTGCTATTAGCTTGGAGGCCACCGCTACGAGTATGGGGTTGGATGCCATTACTACTATATAGTAGAAACAATATATCTGTGCCTTGACAAGAGCAAACGCGCCTCGAACGTCGCCCAACTCGGCCCGGGCATCGATCTGCGCATTGAAGCCTCCCAGGTTTCCCTGGCAGGCTCGCCGCTGGGAATGAGAATATCAATCTTTGTTGCACAGTGAGGTTGGTAGGGCGAAGTTGTTGTGGCTCATGGATGAATCCATTAGAAGGAACTTGTTCCACTTGTCACTGGTGCACAGAACAGCCGCAAAATGAAAAAATATCATGCACCAATGTGAGGGGTCGTTCAGATGCTAAAGGCAAGAATTGGCTCGGGGCCACTTCTGCAAAATATACTGTATGTCACGCAACTAGATGGGTCTGAAATTGATCGCATGTATTCACAACGTGCCATATCAAACCCAAGCACCACCGAATAGTTGGCAGCTTCCCTCAACTTGACAGCATAGAGCTAACCATTCCCCAAACCAACAATGCCTTGAAACTTCAAATGATGCCCTAACAGCCAGGTCTCAGCATCCTCGCAAAGAACATCCACGTGAAAAGCATTGGGTTGGGGAAGGCCCTCCTCCCGGGCCCTGCATTTTCAAGCAAGCTCCCGCCGCCAACCTCTAGACCAGATGATAGGTTCAGCCTCAAAAAGCTGCTGAACACCACACTTGGATTTGCACGGCATACCGCAGGACATGCCTTTCACAGTCCAATAAGGGAGGTTCTTCTGGATGATTGAGAGTTTGGAGAATAGTTCCCTGTATGTAACTCTTGAGACTCTTTAGATCTTCCTTGCACTTCTAACCAAACTGGCCCAGCACTACCTGTCAGGGCTGAAAAGAGGCCAACAAATGCGAAACGGACATTCTGATTTTCAAAGTGCGCATTCACGACCATCACGAGCCGTTGCATTGCCGCGTCCAATGTTCAGTATAGAAACTACAAGTGCACATGTTGCTTCCACGACCAGCTCTTGACATGTGCTAGGAAGTTGCTTAAAAGATTACCACCATCACCACCCACAAAAATATAAGACCAACTAAAAACATCTAAAAAATGTTTTCTCTTAAACGATATGATAAAGACAAATGATTTGCACTTGTTGCCCTACTCAACACACTCTGCCAAGCAGCCACCAAGCAGCATCGTCTTGAGGACCCATCCTCAGTGGGTCGTTGGTGTCGGTGTCACCGATTCAAAGAACGTAAAAAGGACACCTCCTAACTGAACTAGTGACATAAGATTCACAAAACTCCAATGTAGCTTCTTCGTTCCTTGTGTGTTTTTTTCTCTGGATCACGAGGCGAGAATTCCAAATCGTCATTGGACAGGTACTTAATTGGACATCAGTGATTGAACTTCAGCGAACTCCAGTGCCTCCCTCAATCCGGACACTGGGATCCACAACTCACGGCCACCAAGGAGAATGGCCTCGGCCAGGAGGAATAGCATGGAATAGCAATAGCCTCGGCCTAGGCCTCGACCAGACAACCTTGCCTTCAAATGCCAACGGATGCAACTGGAGCGTAGATTTGCTGAATGTCATCTTAACACTGGGAATGTGCGACTGAATCTGGTGAGGAGCAACTTACTGTAACTATACTTTGCGTGTCCTTGGAAAAGCCTTACATAACTGCTCACGAAGAATGCCAGGCGCAACCTTTTTGTGGTGGCGCCTCATCGGTCAAATAGAATTCATCACCATCACGTCGCAGCAGCAACACACCTTCTTCCTGAAGAAAGTGGTCGAAGAACTGTCACAACAGCACTTCTTGGAGACGAGGAGAAAAAGGAGCAAACATTTTTTAGTCCCGGTACAAAAATTGAGATGTTCACCCAGAAATTGCTCATCTTGTGACGGCAAAATGATTGTGGCCTCCGCCAGCTGCATCAGCTTTGGCAAGCGTTGACCTCGGTCAACTTGGACCAAGCCTTAAACTATATATATATATATATAGCTCCCTGACTAAACTGCCGCCTTCTATTTAAAATAGTTGATCATTTCTCCTATCTTGGTTGTCTGTAGTTTACTTACACATACACGATCATACACGGCTATTTCAACTTATAAAATCTTATACATACACTTAAGCAATAGCGGCCATTCCAAGGGGCCCATGAGGTGTCCGACAGCTACACATGGGCCTAGTAGCTCCAGGCCTTACTACTAGGAACACGAAGCTACTAGGAGTTACTAGGAGCAAAGGGCATCGCTACTAGGAGCTATGGGCATCGCTACTAGGAGCAATGGTCTTGACTCATTCATGCCAGGTCAAATGTGTGGACGATGCCCAACGATAGGACTCCCGAATCTTTCCGCTAAGGTGGCCACAGTCCGGCATCGAATAGATGCCTTCGTCCTTCCAATGAAGATTTCGACAAATCAACGCTTCAGGTGGCTTGAGCTACAGCTGTCCCATCCTTCTCGATGAAGCGATCTCCACATTGTTGAAGCAGCCGCGGCCAAGGGCTCAAAAGCTCCTCCACAAAAGGGTGGGCACCTCACATGACGGCTAGACAGCTAGGCTATCTTTAGCTAAGCCCATGAAACCGTAAAATATGTTTTTGAAAGCTCAATGCAATGCACGACCATGTGTATGTCCCAGCTTTTAGCGAATTTTTAGTAGGTGATTGAGCTCAGCGACTTCCTTCCACTTCCACCCGCGCATTCAAGATCCCTCCTTACACCGCACAGATGCACGTGGAGAAGGCCTGGCAGAGGCATGAGTGGTCAGGAGTGAAAGAGCTCCCATCGAATTGGAATGCAACTTGAGCTACTCAAATGTTCTGACGATGCTCTGAGACCCCTGTATCGCCATGTTGGAAAAAAACAATTGTCTGGAGACAGGCTTCAAGCAACCACTGTGGAGGTGCCGAAGCATGTCCGTATGACGGTCTGACCATCTCGGCAGCATGGGCTTGCTCCTGAATCAAGGTCAACAAAGCCCACAATGGCCCACAATCCTCTTTTGGTTCAATATTCTTGGAACCGATTCATCAACCTAATCAAGGTCCGTTGGTGTAAAATGGCGTCAGTGAAACTACTGCATCTGGTCAGGCAAGGTAAAGATGCAGGTGAGAAATCCGGTCTCGAGCTGACGAAGGAAAGTCCAAGTCTTTCTGTCATATGGTATCCAGGCGTGCTTCCTCTGCATGCACAGTGTCTCGGCGGACTCCGACCACGCTCAGGCCTTCTGGAAAGCTGCTAAGAAAAAGCCCTCGGTGTCAAACATGTGCGGCCAAACCTGACAAGCAATGCATCACATCAAACTCAACTAGAAAGACTCGGATAGGAAAAAATAAATCAATAATCTTGAATATACGACTTGAGTCGATCCGATGCCAGATGGTCCCCGAACACCACCATCGACCGCATGCACACATGTTTCCATGTTGCACTTTCCTTGAGGCTCTTGCAGTGCTGACATCACTTAAGACGTCAGTCTTTGGCACAACTTGAGACACGTTCGGCGCAACCTTCGGGCCCTGCTGCGTCGCAGCCAACCGGCCCCTCGTGGGCGGCCGCGTTGGGCCCTTCCGAAAGCTATGTAGTTATTCAAGAAATGGTTGCTCCTTGCCGGCCCAATCACACATATGTGAAGACGCTATATATGTGCGTCTGTATGTAAGTGCATATACATATAGAGAGAGAGGGAGAAGCGGGCTCGTGGCTAATCTATCATCGCTTATGGGTCCTTCGGCAAGGGCATCAAGGACATCAGAAAGCCACGGAAAGCAAACTTCAGCAAATAGACTGGCGTAGCTCGCTCAAACTGCTTCCAGAATGGATGATCAATGGGATATCCTTAGGCATGGTGTGACACCCTTTCTCGCATCAGGTTCCATGGTTTCCGTGGTTCCATCGTCGGCAGGGACCAACCCATTCACGTTTACAGGAATACTGACTGAATATATTTTGAAGAAAGTTGAGCTGATGGCTTGCATTGGCTGGCCTGCTGACCACATCTCAGCTCGCAACCCACTTCATAGTCAATACAATTATGGACATGTTGCGGTTTACATCAAACTACACGTCCATCCCCTAACATCTCACGGACTCTATATCTAAATTGAAAAGTAACATTAACATCCCGCCAGGTGAACAACCACACCACACCTGCGTTTTCGTGTTCTTGTTGAGAGTGAGCTTGCGTGTCATCTTGGAAACAAATGCAAAAACCTGTATGTGTAAACAACGTCGCTGCATCAACCTTTCCGAAAAGAATCCATTACCCGATCCCCAACCACCCAACTCCCCCCAAGCCTCCCTCGCACCAAAATGCTCGAACGGGCAAGTGTGTGTCAAGTGGTAGAGAACAACAAAATTAAGGTTTAACAATAAATCATTGTGACTGACTGTTTACAGAACGGCGACACAAATTCCGAAGCAACACATATCGAAGGTGCCGACATGAATGAGGAATGCAACAACATGGGAAGGGGTGTTCATGATTTGCTGAAAAAGGGTGTTTGTTACCCCGCTAGCATCAACATGCCAAATGAAGTTGCTATGGCAACGTCTTTCCTTAAACACTGTCAGGCCGCAAGTCCATTTCTCACACCAGTGGTGGGGTTGAATGGGAGTGGTCATCCAGGGGTCAAAACAACCCTACTAGGAATGGCCTCCAACCTAATTAATGGCGATGGCCTCCAACCTATAACAGCGATGGCCTCCAACCGAAAAGCGATGGCCTCCAACCTGCATCAAAAAGTATGAAAAAGTGGTTCCAAACCTGTGGAGCTTCGAAAGGCCATGACTGCATGCTTCACGAAGAAGATTGCAGCGGTCAGCCGACGATAACATCTCATCAAGAATGTCATTGGCCAATCTTCAAGAAAGTCCAGGTGAAAGACGCGAGAGTCTGGAGCCTTATGGAAATGTCAGTGTCGCTTGAATGCTATCAGAACGTTCGTCCTCCAGTGTCTAGTGCTGATCTCCTATCTACAAGGCCGGCTTCTTACAGGTCTAGATAAACCACAAAAAGCTTTACCTTGCGGAGTTTGTTTGGAGAACACAGGCAAGGGGCATAACTGTAGAATGGCCAACCAGAAGGAAACTCCTTCTGCAAAACACGCTTTCGGACCAGGATGGCCAAGATCGCTTGTTCCGGAGTATGAAAAAGGCAAAGCGGATGCGGCTTGGGATTTGGAAGTGGGCAAATCACCTGAGGACTGCCACAAGGATTAAGGAGCGAATTGCATAATCACATATAGCATAATTAATCGTATCATACAAAGAACCTTCAGTAGATTGGGACCAGCTGGCTGGTTCAAGCTCTGAAAGTGCCCTCTCCCTCAAGCATATTATAGATTTGTCAAACATCCAAAGTGCATACACCCCTAAAGCTCTAAAGTCTAAAGGAAAAGGACCTGGCTCTGCCCACACCAATGAAGCCATTCATGAACCAATCGCTCAACCATGGCTGTGCGCCGCATCAGAATTCGATTCACACAAATACCTCGGCGCGTAGGCAATGCGCTCGCGGCTCTTGGCATCGGACGAAACACTCGGAATGCCAAACGAGTTTCAGCCCACACTCAAAATCAAAGGGGATCTCAGCACAAAGCGGGGTGTCATGATACAAGCAAGTAGCAGCTTGACACGTCTGCAAATTACATCAAATTACAGTGTGTTTGAGATGAAGCAACAAAAGATCGCAAAAGCATCGTCCAACCCCAATCTGTCACACGCACTTCATGATACAGGCATGGCACAGGGTGCAAAAGCAATGTTGTAAGTGCATGCATCCATGAGCTCCAGTGTCAAGGACTTGGAATGATTCCTGAGTGGCATCTAACAGCAACATTCTTCCATTACTGCTGGATGAAGAAGTCCTGAAACCACCTCAGGTAAGGTAACCACTGCATTGGCAGTGTATATATTGGGCATAGGGCATAGGTGGTGCCGGACACCTTCCATCAACACTTGAACTTGCGAGTTGGCTCCTGTAGCGATGGCCTCCACCCTAGTAGCGGTGGCCTCCAACCTAATAAGTTCATTCCTGTGCTCAGCTTCTGAATTCGCTTCCACATGGGATCTTCCAAGGGCACGAAGAAGTCCGTTCGCTCCAACAGCTTGCGACAGGTCTTCAGCAAATCATGCAAGCCTTCTTGGTAGTCCTCCAGGGATTAGTGTCCAACTCAGGTCTGAAAATTACACTAGCTAGCTTTTACTATGTGACGTTTTGCATTATCCTTTTTTGGGACTCTTCGCTCTGTCGTTGTTTTATCGTTTTCCAGTGTTCATACATATTATGGGGAGTTGCCTTGCCATTCTGCAATGCAGTGATACAAGCAAGTTTTGCCTTGTATGGTGAAGCAGGCTCTTAAAAACATTCCACACGAGGTGGACCATACAGTACTAGAGTTCTTCTTCGTCTGCATGCTGCCCGGCCAGGTGGATTATATAATCGTTTCTCACCACGACATCTTGCCTGACCGGTGCAGAACTTTGTTGTCCCTTTTGACTCTTTATGTTTTCACAGAAAACAAGATACTAACTTACAGTTCTAGGGAAAAGTGAAATGCTTTTCTATGCACGGTGTTTAACTTCTCCATTGGCAAGGCGGTCATAGGCGGAAAAACACGTCAATGCGGGAAAAAAACGTCAATTTTCTCATCGGCCGTGTTTCTCTGTGAAACTGGGTTCCGTTGCCGGCTCGATTCACATCAAGGAGTTGCTCAAAGGAGTCTGACTCTCAACCTCGAAGCTTTGTGGTCTGGCTTTGCCACCACTGGTCCATGCCTTCTACGCGTATAAAAACATGTTGATACCCAAAGGCCCATTCTTCCCACTTCTGTGTCTGCTTTGTCTGGCGTCACCTAAGAATGGCCAAACTATTGGCATTCAAACATACACACCCAGTACATCTTGCATCCCTTCCTGATACTTCTGCAAATTGGCATCCATGAACAAAAGCATAGAACCAGGCTCAACCTGTGATAGCGCTTTGCAGATCACCAAGGGTTTCCACGCATAGTATCCCAACCTTGAGAGCTGGAGACTCTGGATCGTGGCGTTTGTCACGGAACAGCCTGCTTGTTGCGCTTGTCCATTGTCTTTCAGCAGTACATTTATCAGGTGACAGCTATGGACTTGCACAACCCTTGGTCTATATATCCAGGTTCATTTGAAAAAAAACTATATTTGGCCAAAGTAGTGGGAACAGGAGATTCATGACAAAAATGAAGGAATTGTTAACTGGGTGGCATTCACTGCTAAGTGTTTTGCGCTAAAGCTTTTTGTTTTTTCTGGATTAGTTGGGTTTCAATGACCCTCAACCCTGTGCCACCCAAAAACAATAACTTAACAATACACAGCGCAAACTCCAACACAGAAGCATTGCGGGCAGCGGGCTGAGGCCTGAGGCATCATTCAATCAAAAACACCAGCCCTGCACCTGGCCACACCTTCTCCTCCTTTGTTCAGAAGCACCACTGCCAGCCGCCAGCTGCTGCTTTTTTCAATCACCACGTCAAGTCACCACCCAAGGTGAAGGTATCAAGGTCTTTGCTGTGTGTGCTTAGCGGTTAGTGGATTAGCCGACAAAAGGCCGTTGTGACTTCTGGGTCACCTGTACTTCCACACCGCATTGTTCCACACTGACTATTGACTATTGTTCAAGAACAAAGTGGGCACAGTGCACAGTGCCCGACACAAGTACACATCACAGCTTTGTGCACTGTTCTGTATACATTGTGTGTCCCCACGCAGCCTGTTACAGTGGTGCCCCCAACTGGTGGTGGAAATCACGGTATATACATATGTTTGCGGCCTGACCAGTGACCAGTGTTTATAAAAACAAAAAGATTCAGACAGATAGGGCGCCAGAAAACGTCACTGCTAGTGCTAGTAAACAAGACTTGTGAAATGGCATGACCCTTCACGCCATTCAGATCAGGATCGATCCCCTCACTTTTTCCCATCAATGAGCTGCTTCAAGCTACACTGCTTGGGTTCCACCTGGCCAAGGCTGCCAAGGCTGCTTTGTTTCTATCATGTATTGGGACTGCAGTCTATACTATCATCTATCACAAATATATATATATATATAGTAGCATAAAAAGTATCTACCTGCCTATCTACCTATGTACCTATCTATACCTCTTTATCAATGGACATTATGACATTAGCCAGAATCTTGACGGACTCAGACTCGGATGAATGTGATTGGTATGGTACCGTACGGAACAGGCATGAAGTTGGTCAAGTCAAGTCTAAAAACATAGTCTAAAGTTGGAGTTGGAATCAAAAACCTTGTCCATGTCCGGTCCATGTCCTTGGTATCTGATTGAATTCTGAATCCCTCACTCTCTCTCTCTCTCTCTCTCGCCGTCAGTTTATGTCCATGTGCCACCAGCACTGGGCCAGCATCAGCACCTTGTTTTGTTTACCTTTGCCACGACCACGGCCTTTCCCACTGGAAGATGCCTTTGCCTTTGGCAGGGGTAGGGACAGTAGTAGACAGTAGGGATATGATGTAAACTGCAGGTCACCTGACCACCTGTTCTGCCTTGCACTTCAATAGGGTCCGGCCAGTGTCAGTCAGTCAGTTAGTCAGACGAGAGTCCCAGGTACTAGGCTAGTGTCAAAAAATATTGATGACTTGCCTGCCTCCTGCTTCGGCTTGGGCTTTGACTTTGGCTCCTTCTTTTCTTCAGTAGTCTTTCTCTTCTTACCCTTGGTGTCATCATTCTTTTGGTCTTTCTTCTTCTTATCAGCAGCGGCCGCCGCGTCCTTCATGTTCTTCTTATCTTCCTTCCCCTGACCCTCCGTGTCATCCGCATCAGCATCATTCTTCTTCTGTTCCTTTTCCTTCGCCTTCCCCTGAGCCTGACCCTGACCCTGTTCAAGGTCTTTTGGAATGCCATTGCCACTGCCACCAACGGATGTCTCACCACCTCCTCGTGTCTCAGGAGGCGTTGTCATTGCCATATCTTCCTGATCATGAGGATCGAGCTTTCGTTTCTTGTGGCACTCACCTTCATGCTGCTCAGCCAGGTCATGAACATTGACCTTCCCAAGCTTCTCTATCAACTTGGACTTGGATTGAAATTCCTTCTCCAGTTGCTGCTGAGCCATAGTCTGTGATGCATGTTCAGAAGCAGCTGAGAAGTTGTCACTGTGGATGCCGTGCTTCTGCAACTCTTCATCAAGTTCCTGTTCTATCTCCTCTATTGTTGAATCTTTTTTTGAATTTGACTTTGGGACCGGATCATGTTCATGTTCTCCTGGTTTCTCTTCATTCGCCCGGCAAAGCGCAGCAGCAAGTGTCTCTTTGACTCTGAGCGCTTCCAAGTCAGCTGCTCGCTTGTCCAACTGCTGGAAAGTGGAGTGAGTCCCCAGTTCTCCTCCCTCCCCTTCATCATCAGCAGCTGGGGTTGCAGTCGCAGTTTCTTCTACTTCTGTTGCTGCTGGCAGTGCTTCTGGTGCATGTGGTGGGCTGCTGGCTTCTTCTGTTGCTGGTGCTGCTAAGACTTCGCCTGGTGCTGTTGCTTCTGGTGCTGCTGCTGCAGCTGGGACGGTTTGTGGTAGCGGAGCAACTGCTTTTGCTGCAGATGAATTGTTGGCTTCTGCCACTGCTGGTGGTGCTTCTGCTTCTGGTGGTGCTGCTGCTGCAGCTGGGATGGTTTGTGGTAGCGGAGCAACTGCTTTTGCTGCAGATGAATCGGTGGCTTCTGCCACTGCTGGTGGTGCTTCTGCTTCTGGTGGTGCTTCTGGTGCAGCTGGGGTGATTTCCGGTAGCGGATCAACTGCTTTTGCTGCAGATGAATGGGTGGCTTCTTCCACTGCTGGTGGTGCTTCTGGTGCAGCTGGGGTGGTTTGTGGTACCTCAGCAACTGCTTCTTGTGCAACAGCTGCTGTTGTTGTCTGTAGCTTGTCATTGCACGCAAGCCATGCAATGAACTCTGTCAAGTTCATCAGTTGATCACCATTCTCATCTGCATAGTCAAAGTCATCTGGAACACCGTAGGTGAGTTGCATGTCTTTGATGTGATCCTTCAAAAGCGGGTGCTGCACAGACTCCCGGTAGATCTTCTGAAACTCTTCTTTGGACAAAGTCCTGATGATGTCTTCAGCAAAACGGAACAGACTTTTCTGAGAGGTCACCGGGTTGAATTGCTTTGTACAGATATCAAACAGCTGTTTCATGGATTGTGGAATCTTGACCTTCACAAAGCCAGCAGGTGCAGCCGTTGAGTTTGCTTGCGCAGGCTCTGTCTTCACACTCTGCAATGCTGACTCTTCTAAAGCTGGATGATTTAGATGTCCGTCAGCCATTGTTGCTGCAGCTGGATCCTGGTCCTGGCCATTGCCTTTGTCATCATTTATAGCTATAGGATGCACACTCTCATCACCATTCTCGCTGCTGCTGCTGCTGCTTGTGTCTGCCATTTCTTCCATTGCCTTACGTTTGTTAGCCGCAGCCTCGCAAATCTTTGTGTCCATCGACTCTAGCGTTTGGATCAGGCACTTGGTGATGGATGTCCTGATTCTGCTGAAGTCAGTCAGTCGGACGGTTGGGTACTCTGAAATAAGAAGAAACTTGTCAAACTGGTTAGTTGTTTGCGGTTGGTTGGTCAAGTCTGGAGCCTCTACTATAGGGCCTATAGCATAGAAGAGTTATACTAATTTATTACATTTACATTGACATAAACATAGTATAGTATATTATTATAGTATAGTAATAGTAATTAATTACTATACAATAGACTGGACTGGACTAGACTAGATTATATATATATACATAATAATCTAACAAGTTATACAGTTATACATCACATCAGTTTCAATGAAGAGTGAACAGTAAACACATTTAGAATATTTTAAAGTCTAGAATGAAGGCAAGCAGGCTGGCTGGTTGATTGGAAGATTTTGAACTTTAACTTAAGTTGCTTTCAAGACTCGTTTGCTTGTGCTTTTCCACCAGCTTCAGCTTTGGCAAAACGGTTTCATCAACCAGAAGAGAAGGCACCCGGATCCCCACACTGTTTGCTTGAACTGCCTTTTCCAAGAGAATCATCCCCCCCGGGATATAGATGGCATCTCCCGGGGACACATACATGATCTTCAATGAGTCAAGCAAGCCATCCGCATTGATCCCTTCCAGTGCTGCTAAGGTTTGTTCCGACACGTTCTCAAAGAACTTCACACAGCAAAGCAATGAATCTGGAGTATCTGGAGAATCAGCTTTCTTGCTGGCTTCATCAGCTGTTTGACCCAGCAAGTCGAAGCCAGCCTTCAGCAACCTGACAGTTGGAGAGGAAGAACGGGTCCACGTCAAATGGAACTTCATGTACTGTATTACTGTATCTGTATTTGTATATATATACATATAAAATCTATATAAATTTTAAATCTAGTCTATTACTACTTCACTTCATCATCACCACAATTCAGTCCATCCATCAATCAATCCTGAGCACTGAGCATTGCTGACAAACAAGCCATGGGACTCTTCAATACAGCGACTGGCATTCCCAATGTCCATCATTGCAATCATCTTGGAGCCCTCAACTTGATAATAGACACTCGGAATGCCACCTCCACAAACCGGTGTGTTTACTTCTCCACGTGATGACGCGCACAAGCAAAGACCACCAGACTTTTGCCTTGCCTTTTGTTTGGACTCTTCCGTGATTGAGTCTGCTGGACCAAGTGCTTCCACCAGCCTCAACTCTTCATTGGTAAATGGTGAAAGCATAAAGTCAGGTCAGAGTCAGGTCTGAGTTATATACTGTGAGTGTTTAAGTGCAGTGCAGTCCAGTGCAAGGGAAAGTGCCTAATAGTCTATGGATACTATGGATGGTCATAGTTAGTGTGCGACTGAACCATGTGTCTTGAACGAAGCAGTGCCAAGCAGCTGATCGGAAAAAGCATCCCTGTTGATGCCGATAGGAAGTCTCAATCCTTCATACTCCGGCTCATGCTCTGCATTCTCACAACACGCCAAAGAAAGATGCTGGTCCAAAGCCAAGATTTGGCCCG